TCCACAGCTCTTGAGCTTCAAAAACACACCAAAATCATCCAAAATCGAACTTCGAGTTTGAGAGACGTCCCAAGCCATGGGCACGTGACCGACTTTGCTTTTGTCCAAGTGGTCACTGGGTAACAACCGCCTCATCTGGCGCCGAAACTCGGCGACCGAAACGAGCTCCGAACTGGTACACCGGCCATAGTGCTCTCCAAATATAGATAGTGGCACGGTTTCATTTTGAGTGGGGATCTAATTACTTATCTATCTATTGTGGGGTCTACATAAGCTGCCCAGCCCGCATGCTCCAATGGGACTCGCGGAATCAGCACTCGTGTTGGGTTTGCAAGAAAACCTGGACCATTACACAAACACGACCTGTCTGGGACCCCCTGGCACCAACACTGATCGGCAAATATTCTCATACAATTCAACAGTGTAACAAAGGTTGAAGAATCCTATGGCCCTATAGACCAACCCATACAGGTACTCCAGTAGCGTCCTATAAATCCTAAGGTCACCTAACCATACCTAACCTCTCTCGGATGGCATACATGGAGGGTCCGGGTGATGGAGTCCCTTTCCCGTGAGTTGGACTACTGCAAACCTTCGGACGCCACAGGTGCGCGAAATGACTAGCGTTTGGACGCCCTGTGACAGGAGTGTGGTTTGCTACATACAATGGAACAGAAATCGTCGACGATCTTCACAAGTCCTGGTCATGGCTGTGCTTGTCAGGTTGACCCAGGTCATGGCTGTGCTATTCACCCCCTCATCAAGGGATTCCGGGATTCCTCGACGTACTGACCATGGGGGCCAATCTTGGGCCGCACCCCGCTTTTTCTGGCGTGGTCATCAAACTCACCTATATGTACAAATGACACCACAATTAAGACAAGGGACTTCACTCTCAAGACTGGAATGCTTGGAATTCGTTCCCGTGCCTGGTCTACTCTCAAAAATGGTGTTTGTTCCTGCCGTCGGGTCGATTGCCATCTGCCTCTGGCTTTGGAAGCACTTGCTTCTCAGGTGGCTTCGGCTTCTCTGGGGGCTTCTCCTTCTTCTCCGACTTGCTGGCTTTCCTTTGTGGACAGGTGGCCCGTTGACACAGCTGTGCATGGTATCTATGAATCTATGCCATACATGGAGAGTCTGGGTAAGGCCGGTTAGGAATCACATCTGGCTGCAAACGCAGGACACCAACTAAAACACCAATGCTAATCCCAAAGGACCCACAAGCTGCATTACAATTACTATATGAATTCAAGGTGTGAGAAGGTCAATGGCAAAAGGTTCAAAAGGAGCAACATCTGGAGAACTTGTGTAGCTTAAAACCAGCTTGCATGGAACGCAAATGCAATACATACCCTCATTCTTTTATATAGGCAGAATGGTGCATGTTCTGTTTGGTGGTGGACCTGCTGAAGGCCTATTCTTGACAACTTCACAGCGATTTCAAGAAAAGGACGCACACACACACACACCACACGCACACCGGTTCAGGTGGTTCATGCATTTGATGGAATCCCGAAGATGGTTTCGAATAGGGCTTCCGCAAGTTTTTTTCCGCAGGTTTCTCAACCTCTCTTGGATCTCTTGGTTGGTATATACCTATGGGCCTGGGGTACGTGATATAAATGGATCTAGGGTTCTTCGGCCTCTGTTGGTTGGTTTTCTTGGTGCTTCCAGCTCTTTCCGACCCTTCGAGGTCTTCCCCCCCGGTCGTCCGATCCATCGAGACACGCTTTGGGCGTGGCCGTCGCTTCTGCAGCCGCTTGCCCGGCGGCCAAGGCGGCCTGGCATCGGGCGGCACTCGCCATGGGGCATAGGACTGCCGACCAATTGACCCCTTTTCAACCACACCACCCCCATGTCAATATGCCAGTCCCATGGAGTGTCTGGAACTTATAGATGCCCCCTGGAAAAGGTTGACTTGGCCGCACGCAGTGTAGAATCCTTAGTTCAAACAACCTTCAAAGACAGATTTTCATCAGGTGTCTCAGGTCCATGTAGGGTGGTCTCAGGGGTCCATTGCTACGGCGTGCTACATGCAACTCTTTGGAGTGTGGCCCTCGGACTCCAACGTGCCAACGTGCTACGTGGACATCCTATAAAATCCCTGTAGGGAAAAAACAACGACATCCTTTACAAACCGGGGGTTTGTTCACATAACATCACGTCACCATGCTTGTTACAGGGAGGGTACCAGGGTTTGGACAATGGGACCTGAGACTTGGGATCATCAGCGATGAGAAAATAACCACGGACGTTGACGTCGGAGGCGATTAGGGTCGGATGGAAGTGGAGATAAAAACTTCCTCGCCTTGGAGAGGACTTCCCAACAATCACATTATATGTGACTGGTGGTACACATGGTGCTAAAAAACGTGATATCTTGATTCATGAGATCCGTTGTTCTCCCCTCTTTTGATCCAAAAATCCAAGGCGGTTCTCTTGAGACACGTCCAGCCCCGCGTCTCAACGCCTCGGCGAAGCTGAGGAGCGGCTCGGCCACCTGTTCGGCACGATCCACTTCCACCTGAAGGCGGAAGTGCCCAAAGGCCCTGGAAAGGGCCTGGAAAGGCCCATGGGAGCTGAGGGGAGGCCGCCATGAGGAAGGGGAGCTGAGGAGTGTAAGTAGCAGGAAGTACTTTTATGCAGAATTGTATGTAACCCATTCCTGGAAATGATCATTCAAGGGGCCATGCCATCCACTTCCATGATGATTCCAGAATGTCGTGTGTAGTACATTGTAGTACTTCTCCAGGCGGCAAAAAGACTGCTTTTGGACAACACGACCTTGGCCCTTGCAAATGCGTGGCTGCGACGCAAAAGCTTTCACTTTGGCCTCTGAAAAGTTATTATATAGAATGACTTAAAGCTATACATGACTAACATTAAATCTGTTGGGCTGCTCCAAGGCGGCAGTGGAGTTTTTGGGTGGATGCCCTGAGCATCCCAGTGGATTCCTTGAGCATCCCACCCGGGCATCTGAAAGAAACCAATTCCTTCAAGACTCCCCGAAGGGTAAAATCATAGATCGCTTTCGAAGTCGATCAATCAACTTCCGGCACGTTTGTTTTTTCTCCAGGCGGACTTGATTGAACAGGGTATAGTTATAGTTATGGGTCATGGGTGCTTGATCTACGGAAACTGGGGGGACCTTGAACATATCTTATATGACTTGCATATTATATGCATCCCAATGCCAAATCGAAAGAACAGGCGGTCTCGGATCCATCCAAGTTCTCAACCTCGACCCCAGTTCTCACCTCAACCGAGGCGTTTCCGGTTCTCACGCACCGTGGCGTCCCGCCACCGTGACCGTGTCCCAGCGCGGTGGTTCGTTCGGCGGCGGGAACGGGCCTCGGCGGGTGCCAGCTTCGCTTCAATCTCGTCGGCCAAATACTTGGCCGCAGCCTGGTGCTTGAAGGTCTCTTGGGCCGCCAGGAATGGCACCAACTTCCTTAGGGGCCCACGTGCGGAACGTGCGGAACGAGGGGGCAGGCCAAGGATGAGATGGAGCCGGAAACAAGAAGCAATGCTGTGCAACTGTGCATGTCAAATGGTTGCCCATAATGAAAGTGATCTTTAAAGGTGTATTGGGGATCCATGTGAGGGGAAGATCATTCCTCCGCGCTCAGGGTCGTTCTCTGCTTTTGAAAAAGGTCTCTGAAATTCTCTGAATTGGTCTTGTCCAACTTCACCAAGGGAAAAAAAAACAAGAACAAACTCCTGGACCTTCCCACTAGTGCCCAACTTCGAGATCCATAAGTAAGTCTCTCTCTCTCTCTCTCTAGTCTACTCAATGCCTTCCAGCCTAACCCCTTGGATGATCCTGGTAATCCTTTGGACCCAAGGTGCTGGTTGGCCACACGCAGCTTCTCGCGGAAGGAGCCCAAAGCGTCAGTGGCCTAGCGCGCCAATGGACCCGTGCACCCCCGTGCGCCAATGGACCATGGACCATGGACTCCAGAACCGATGAATTGCACAATGCAGAATCGGATGACACTTGAAACCTGAACAGTTTGGCGGCTCAGAACTAGAGTGACCTCCAGTCAGCTTTTATCCTGACCTCCATCCGGCCGGGTTCCGAATTTGGGCATCTGAAGCCTTCGTATCCCTTGAGCCGACCCATCGTCGCCTTGAGCCGACCCTGGTCACTCTCGAACTGCTTCAGCATCGCAAGTTTCAGTCCGATCGCCTGACTGACCAGGCGCGTCAGGTCTGTTGCAGTGGAATTGACTCAAAACCAAGCCCTGGGCCTCCAAGTACCTTCTGAGAAGGTGTTTGGGGAGGTACTTGGAGGATCTAAACACCTTCTATCTGAGGAGGTACTTGGAGGTGTAGAGGAATATTGAATGACTCATGAACTACTCCACCTGGTAGTGAATCCATCCACAACGGTCCCATTTCAGGGTAGTTCACGATCGTCAAACTTGGACTTTGTCTCAGGGAAACATGCTGTGACTCAAGTCTTGCAGAAGTGGAAAGCAATGACTCAAATCTGCAACTCTTCACATCTATTTTTTTCGGGTCTGCTGTTTTGGTCGTCTCATTGGGGGCCCGTGCTGTTAAGGCTTCTTTCACCTTGGCGCTGAGGTGAGCCCCGTTGCCCCCGTTGCCAACACTGACCAGTTCTTGGTCCTGTCGGCTCCAAACTCTGGGAGCCAAACTTGAAACCGCCTTCATCTCAGCGCCGATTTAGGCGTGTTCCACATCACATGGGAAAAAAAAATCCGGTTTTCAGCCGGTCTCATTCCCTTTCAACGGGAAACACGGGTTGGTTTCGCTTGATTGGACGTTCCAATTTCTCCGAACTGAGCTTCGTCACTGCAGCAGCAGCTTGCTTCGCAGATTCCTGACTGATCATCGGGCAGGCACTGGATTTTGAAGGCCGGACGCTTTTTGTCAGGACCGGACATTGATAGTATAGGTGTCAAAAGAACCGGTGAAAATACGACAAATGCGTAAATATACTATGGTGTACTGTGTTTTGTGTTTTTTTTTCTTGGGGGGGTAGCACTTTTGCCACATGGCCACCAGGTAGATTGAGCAAACATTAAAAGCCTGGACTACCTTTAACGGAAAGGCATGTATCAATGAATCACACCCTTTCAGAACGCTCTCTATCAAGAGGAAAGGGCTTCTGCAACGGCAATGTGCCAGGAAAAGTGCCCAGGCCATTGGCCAGTCCTGCCAGAGGCCCTCTGAAAATCGAAATCACCCACAGCGATTTTTACTCGTGACTCCCACATGCTTGGAGCCTCTCTTCTCCAGCTGCTGCCTGAGGCACAGGAGCCGTTCTTCGACGGAATGCATCACCTCATTGTACAAATTGAAAACCTTGGCAAAGTGCCTTTCAGTGGCTTCCAGCTCTTCCGTTTTTGAGCAATAGAAATGCAGTAGCATGGGCTTGCACTCTTGAAACGAATTGTATTTGGCGCGCTCTTCCTCCAAAAAACGGCGCAAGGCATCCAAGCGGGACTCTTCCACAGCGTGATCCACTGCGTCAAATTGCCCAGGACATCTTTGAATTGCCTCACGAATCATTTCTTCATCCTTATTCATTTGCAGGGAAGGCTTCCCGCATCTAGCAGCCAGTGAGTTCGCAGGCTTCAAGCATTGCTCACCAAATGCATCCACCATGGGGTCGATGAGTCTGGAAAGAGAGACCGTGGTACCGGTGTGTTCTTCTTCTTCGGCACCATTCGCCATGTAGACTTGAACTCCCAGCTCCTTCGCCATGAAGATTTCGAAGACACACCACATGCGCGAGTAAATATCGCAAGCTTCGGTGATGCAAGCCACCATCGCGGACGCCTGTCGAAGAACAGCTGCAAATGGTCCATGATTGGGATCTGGACCGAGCTGTTTTGCAATCGTGAGCTCTTCTACATCTTCTGGTTGATAAATGGCAGTGGCACAAACCCAATAACCCTCTGTGCCGACAGCACAATGATGATTCTGACTGCTGATCCGGATGAAGCACTTCAGAGCAGCTACTAAGTGGACATAAATTTCATCCCAAGCGTGAGACACCATAACTTTGGCAACAAGCGGCCGCTGGAGGTTCAGCTTTAAAGCATAGCCCAGGCCTGTTGTTTTGGTCATTGGCTTGATTTGACTCTCAACCACCTCTCTCATCGTCATGGCTTTCCCAGTTTGTTTCTCCAAAGATTCCAGTTGCTCAAGGGAGATTCCCCAATGCTCTGGACCCTGGCCGGCTTGTCTCGCGCCCTGGAACCACTTGTCGCCAGGCTCAGCTTCACTGCACATGGCTCAGCTTCGTAGCATTAAAGAGCCACTCCAGAACTCCAGAAGTGGAATAACTTGAACCCAAACAATGCAAATCCCCTTTGCCTTTGCAGAAATTGAGGGTGTACCTTCCTAAGCCTTTCATACAAGCAATGTATATATATAATATATACATCAATGTACTACTGTATGTGTGGGTGTGCATTTTGTTATAGAGACCCCCTAACCAATAGGTTTTGGATTGTTTTGATCTATTGCCCTTCTTCCAGGGGTCTGTGGGAGGTCTCCCTGATTGAATACACACCTTGCCAGTAACAATGGATGATGATGGTTCAGTTGCGGGCCTTGTTCAAAAGTATAAGTTGATAATTGTTTACTGACGGCTCTACAGGCAAGTTTGGAAAGACCAAAACTCTATAATACCCTGGAAGTCACACAGCATGATCATGTAAAACATGGTTAATCTGGTTTTGTATTGTAAAACCCTTAGTAAAACGATGATTGTTCAGTAAATAAAGACTATTAAAGATATTAAAGACTATTATAGTAGACTCAGTAGTAGGCTCATAGACTATTTAACAGATGGTGCTTCGACTTCCAGGGAATATATTCAACGACCACGCTCCCCGCCCAAGGCAGGTCGGTGGGTCACCCAGCCCAGCCGTGTGCCGTGCGCCGGGAGCTGCGCAGGGCGGTGCGCCTCCGTCTGCTGCGCGGCCTTCTGCGCCTCGACCAAGTCTTCGCCGGCCTCGGGGGCTGACGTGGTTTTCATGGAGGCTGAGAGGCTGAGAGGCGCAGCATGGCGCAGCGCTAGGCCGCAGTTTGAGGGATTGGCCCTTGGCACAGTTGAGTTATACGCTCCCTGAAATGTTGAAAGTGGAAAAATGGGTGAATGTGGCCGCCCACATGGATGATGAGAGGACTCAGGCGCCGGTGTTTTTTTTCTCACACCGGTTTTTTGACGGAGTGGTTCTCCTTCAGCCTTCTCCCTCCTGGACCCCCCCGGCATGCTCGATCATCGCCGAGGTGATCTCAGCCTTCTCGGCCAGATCCTGGCAGCACGGCCGATGACCCGGCAGACCGAAGTGAAGGTCGTTCCAGCCGACCGACCTCACGGTCAACGGGTTTTTGTTGCTGAAGCACTTGTTTGGGAGCTGGTGTTTCTTTCTTCAAAGTCTTTTCATCACTACTCAGGTCTATAGACTTGTGAATCCTTTCTGCAAACATCATCCCTATACCCATCTGGTACATCATGTCTATATAGCTTGGAGTAGATGGAGCACGCTGCGTATGAATGCACATGATGATCTCCCTCATCCAGTGACTCATCCAGCAAAAAAGAACACTTCCACCGCCACATAACTACCACCCTGGACCTTCTTTCGTGGTGTGGACAGGGAGATCCCGGATAGTAGTGTAGGGCTCGGGTCTGGGGCTTCGAAACCAGCCAGGGCCACCCCCCCGGACAGAAGGTGCCCCCCCCAAAACGGCCAACATCCGCCGTCTCCGTAAAGAGAAGAAAAACAAACACATCCTCCGCGGCATGGAACTTCTCGGTGATGGAGGTCAGCATGTCCTTGAGCAGCTTCTCATCCTGAGCGGAGTACGGCGTACTCCTCTGACGGAGACGGAGCGGAATCGACCGGAGAAGGACCGGAGCGGAGCATGGAGGAGCGGACCGTGGACAAGGCTGCTAACGATCAAAGCTGGTCTTTTTTGGGAAAACTAGTGTCATTCATTCCCATTCCCTGGGACAAGATGATGATGTATGATGATGGCAGGCCTTAGACTCTCCCTAGGGCTCCAAGTACCTCCTCAGAAGGTATTTGGACCCTGCAAACCCACCCCAAACACCTTCTGAGGAAGTACTTGGAGCCCTAGGGTCTAGAATAGTGGGACACCCTCGATGTTTATTTGTACATGACCCCAAGGGCCATGTTCCACTTCCATGTGAATGTGAGATCGGAGCAGGACAGTAGCTCTTGATCCACCAACCATTTTTCGGAAGGTCCTCTATGAAGTAACGAGTCGAGTAGCCTGCAAAAGCTAACTATTCCCAAACGCTCCATGGGACTGCCATACCTACATTCACCCCCAGTCAACCACCCCTGGCCGTTTTGAAGGCAGTCCTCATACATGGGTCGTGTTTGGGATCTATTTGACCGACCAACTGGTTGTGATGTGTTTCGCACATCGGTCTTCCGCACCGCACCACACGCACAGCCGGCCGTGTCTTGAACACCGGCAGTCGCTTCGATGCGGCCGTGCGCAAAGACAGAAGAACGGCTTCCCATCCCTGGTGTTGATCCCATTCTGAGAGTCTTGAATCATATACCCTAGGATTCAAACAACCATTGTTTTAATGGTCTTTACCAAAGAACCATTGTTTTACTAAGGGATTTTGCACTACACCACCCGCTCAACCGTTCTTTTAATGGTCTTTGAAGGCTAGGGTATATGTGGATGTGAAGAAGACATTCTCTCCAGAAATCAACCTGCAAACGGGAGGTCCGCAGGTCCGGGCTGCCCATGTCCCATGGGACGGGCTTTTCCACAGCGCCGAAGCGTCGACCGAGACGCCGTAGACGGGGTAGCGGCCAGTCCCACCGTCCCGGAGCGGTTGTACCAGGACTTTATATACCTGGATCTTCCAACTATGCCAAATTTATGACAACTATAGGCTGATTTTTTATGGTGAAAAGGTAAGAAATTGGTCACAGTTGGAAGATCCAGGTATGTCTACACTCCCTGAAATGATCATGGAAGTGGAAAAAGCGGGTTGTTTTCCACTTGCATGACAAATTTCAACCAGTGTCAGGGGAAGTTGAATTCCAGCTTCACAGGATTCACAGGGAATGGGATCTCAGCCCAACCGTCATTGCATCTATACTCTGTTTTTCTTCACTGACCCAGAACTTCCGTTTTAACTCATGAACTACTCCACCTGGTAGTCAACCCATCCACCATGGTCCCATGGTAGCGGGGTACTTCCATTTATCGTCCTCTTCCTGGACTCCTCTCAGGTCACCCGTGCTTCACCGATGCCAGGCCGGCCACCCGGCCGCACAGAACGGCCGAAGGTTCCGAGTCCCCAGGCCCTTTGCTCGGACTGCTTCTCTTGCTGCACCCGCATGATCTGAACGGAACGCGGTCAGCGCGGGTGGCTAGGTCGGGGAAGGGTCTCTCTCGGCTGCGAGCTGCAAGCGTGTGCCATCCATGGAGGCCCATCGGCTTGCTCAACGATCTATACAGCAATCTTGCATCTAAACTTGCTGCATGGCGTGTAAAAACGCATGGCGTGTTTGTTACGCAATGGCGTGTGTCGCATTCATGCATGGGCGACACCGCCTGGTGGCTCCTGGCGGCACCGCCTTATTTGGTGTTCTTTGTCTGTGGGTGCAGTACCCAATTCCACGAGTGCACACCGCAGCATCTCCGAGACAGGCATCGCGTGTCCGAGTCGTCTCCAGCCCTCGCCTGGGGGACCAGCACCTGGACGGTGTGATGGTGAAGGCAGTCAGCTTCAAGCAGCAGCCCAGTCCGGATGTGATCTTCTGTGAATTTGCGGGGTCGTATGTTAAGCACACATGGAGGTATCTGTTCTATCAAATTGAATCAAATTCTTTCCAACATCATTTCAATTTCCCAATATGTTTCCTGAATGTTCCTGATTTAGAGAGTCAGCACCACGGCTTTTGGATGCGGACCACCGTCACTGGTGCTAGGGGGATCCATATGAGTGGAGCTGGTTTAAGTATTGGAACTCCTGGGGTTATTACCCGATTACCCCCAAGTGGCGGCCCGAACTCGAACTGTTTAACCGTGGTTTTCAGTCTTCTCTTTCTGGCGTTATATCCCTAGGGCTGCAACCACCTTATCACCTTCTCAGGAGATGGTTGGGGTGGGATTGGGGGGTCTAACCACCTTCTGAGGAGATGGTTGGAGCCCTAGGGTATGTTAATTTTCCATCATCTTCCCACTCCCAAAAAGAAACCCACCCAGCACCGACCCTTTCGAACACCGCCCACTCCCTCTGTCCGGTTTTTGACGTGACCGCGGCTCCGGCGACGGTGGACGTCCGTGTACGGAGGACGGAACTCGTGCCTTGACCTTGGCAATGGCATCGGTGGCTTGCACATGGGCGCGGCGGATCTTCGCCCTCGCTGTTGCGGAGGGAGCGAGTGAGCGGACGAAACGGCCCGCGAGCGATGAACGGTGCTTGGGGAGGCGTTGGCTTGCGACTGCGTGCGGAGCGGCGACAGTGCAGCGGACTGGAGCGTTGAGACATCAAGCCTCCATTCAGTGTTTGTCCATGTTTGTCCACCAAAAAAGAGTCATGGGCTCTGCAAATGGACCATTGCAAGACCATCATCATCTTCTCTCCTTCTACGAACGAACATGTGCAGATGTTTCATCATATCACCTACTATACTTGGAAGGTCCATCCATCAGCTGCACTCGTCTTGATCTCGCTGCCTCCGGACGCTCAGATCTGAGGTCTCCGGCTCTAAGACCTTGGACGCTTCGCCCAGCCCGGCCGTTTCGACCGCCTTCAACTGGTCCATCAGCGCCTCGCGCGCGGTGGCGCTTCGCGGGTGGCGGTGGGCCGCGGGCGTCAGAAGGAGCTGAACCAGTTGATCTGAGGAGCAACCGGGTCCCCTAGCCTAGCCCCCTTGCCTCCCTGCCTAGGGGGTAGGCTAGGTGAAGGGAAGCCCTATCATGGGACGTCTGTGTGTTGTGAAAGAAACATCCTCTCGAGATCCTCGAGTTGTGACGCCAACATCACCAACCATGAGATGCTCATGTGACATGATGTGCTAAGAACCTCAACTACATGTGATGCGCCACACCGATCCACCCCTAACGCTGGGACGGTCCCTGATGTCTGTGTGGTGCCAAGCTATTGAACTGCAATCCGGAGTTCGGAGAACACCTCTGAACTCACCGCAGTCGGCGATGTGTTCTCACCCCAATGACTCCAAGGAATGAGGGTTGGTATTGAAACTTGACATGTAGACTCCTGATTCATAAACCCCCCATATGAAGAGGATGTCCCTTTCAATTAGGGGTGGATATATTTATAGTGGATTGAAAGTAGATGGCACAAACCCCAATGTCGGTGGTGAACATATGGAACCCCCCCATCTGTCGTCACGGTCTGTGCCCAGAGCTCACCTCTGATGGCCCACTGTACCGATGAGTGATGATTAGTAATGACATCTCAACCTATAACCATCCTGGAGTACATAGAATATGGAATTGAAGGTTCCGGCCGTTTTTGT